GTCCAAACTTAAACACAGTTTCATGGCTGAAAGCCTGAAACAAGAATAGCATATCATTCTGCAACAACAATTTCACAAATCTGGCAACTGCAGATGCAAACTTGCACGCCAGATCTGGCAATCAACTTAATAGTTAACACTTAACACTGACAGTGCAGTAAAAAGTTAAAAACACAGTCCAAACTTAAACATATGACAGCTGAACTTAAAACTGTTAAACAGTTAAACTGCAGATGCTAACTTGCACAACTGCAGTCTGCAGATGCTAAACTGCAGTCCAAACTGCAGTCTGCAGACAACAAACTTGCAAACTTGCAGACAACAAACTTGCAGAAGCATTTGACAATGTAGGACAAAGCAACCACATTTTGAACATGTTGTCGACTGTAGCTTCCCCTAATATTAATATGTCCATCAAATCAATGTTTGCTTCCAAGTAATCACAAGCAATCAGCCGGGACTGAACCTGCTGCCTCTGCAGATTTGCTACTACTTGAGTAGCATCTTTGCGGGTCTGTGAATTAGAAACATCATTTTGTTATAAAAAATTAAGGAGCAGACAAAAACAAGATTTCAAAAGAGTAACAGGCTTAACAGAAGTGAAAACCCAATTCCAATTGATCAAATAACATGTAATAGAACTCTTAGAAGACGTCAAATTGCCTCTAAATTCAAATTGGGAAGACAAGTAATTATCAGCCGGAGTGTGTTTTCTCTGAAGAATTCTTGAGTCAACTGAGCACAGGCCTCGGCGAGAGGCTCGGATTCGCCATTCCCATAAAGAATAATCTTTAATTCCCGGATTGACTTGCTTAACTCCATCATCTGCGGATATGCAGTTAAGAAGAAAAAGTGTATAACAAACACTATAATAAACATAATCAAGCAAAAGCATAACTCATACAAAAGTGTACTGCCATATATCTATCTCAAATCATAAAAATAGGGGCATTGTCACTGATGATTCAACACACAACTCCAGATCACATATTTGAGAAATCGCCTGAGTTCAATTACCAATTCTACTGCATATCACATAAAACTCTTATCCACCACTTCCATTGTTCACTTAGCAATTGGTGTTATCAACAAATTCACAGAATTAAAAAATAAATTCTGATAACAAGAAAATGAACCAGATCCAAATTGGGTTTACTAAAGCTATCCCATTTGTGAAATTTTTCCCAAAGCAAGCTAATTCAAACAATTGAACCAAAGTAATCAACTATGAATTCCCTATATCCGTTCCACTCTATTCAGATCTCTAATTCATAAGCTAAGCTAATTCAGAAGTCTCACCCCAGCAATCAATCAATCAATCAATCAATCATCAACTATTCACAATTCCAAACTAGTTAGGACAGAAAACACAAATCCTTATATATTTTCACTCTGTTCGAGTCCGAACTAGTTGAGCTCGAACTGCATCCTTATATATTTTCAGTAAGAATCAATTAACTGCATCTCAAACCAAACTAGTTGAGCTCTGCTATATGAATCCTTTGTATCCATTCCACTCCATAGTCCATTCACATCACTAATCCACAACTAAGCCATTCAAAAGTATCAGCCTAAAAATCAATCAATCATGTCAAGTATGCATCAATTCCAAACTAGTTATCTGGCCCTTTTTCTTTTTCTTTTTTTTCAAAAATAAGAATAAACATCAACCTTTTCAGGTCACTAATTCACAAACTAAGCCAATTTAAAACTCTCAACCCAACAATCAGGCAATCATCAACTAGACCTCAATTCCAAACTAGTCTGAATCGAAGATGCAAATAACTATATATGAGATCATGAGAATGAGATGAGACTTACAAAACTTACAAAAGTAGTGAAGTTAACCGGTGAAGATGAGATGAGACTCGAGCTCGAATGTCGACTGGTCGTAACTCGACTCGCACACTGATATCCTAGAGTCGTAGTCGATTCTCGTCTTCTTCTTCTCGTTCTCGATGATATCACCTAAGTCCTAAGCACCGCGAACGCCCACGGCCCACCCCTACCGCGAAGGCTGAACTGAAGCAGTAAGCAAACCCTAATGCTAATACCCTATGTCAAACTCGAATTCTCGATGAGTCTGAGAGTCTGAGTGTTGGGAGTTGGGTAATTGGGTTTGGGGCGCAGGCGCGCAGCTGGGCCTGGGTGTGGGCATGTGGGCTGTGGCCCAAAATCAAATAAAATAGGTAATTCATAATTGGGTTTGGGGCTTTGGGGTTTGGGCTGTATAATATATTAGCAAATTTCGGTATTTCGGTATACCGAAATAATTCACTTATAAAACCGAAAACCGAACCGAAATACCGAAATACCGAAATTCACGTACCGAATTAGACCGAAATACCGAAAAAACCGAAACCGAAATACCAAATTAATTTGGTTCGGTTCGGAATTCGGTTTTTCGGTTTTTTTGCCCACCCCTAGCTACAATAACTTTTAATGCGTAGCAAAAATATATAATTAGCTACGAAATTATAATGTAGCAATAGATTTATAGCTATTTAGGCAATTATTGCAACGATAATTAGCAGCTATAGTAAAAATGAGGAATTAGCTTTGTCAATTAGTCAATTTATAACTTTTTTGCAAATGAGTGTAGATTCAAATCCCCAAATTCCTGATAAAAACAAATTTAACATGGCCCGTCAAAATGTAAATGATTGAAGAATAAAGTGACTTTAAACAAATATCAACCGCGGGGAGGAGGGGGGAGGGTGTTGAACAGAGATTGTGGTGCCGCACCAAAGGAAAAAGCGATACACATTAGTGGTACGAGGATAACCACTAATTTCTAGTACGAGGATAAGGTGAGGCAGTCGATTATTTCCCATTATTTCTAGTTGAATATTGAATATAAAATAAAACTCCGTAAAGCTTCTGAAATAGAGGGAGTATAATATTCATTTCAAGAGATCATTATAAAAAGGAAGTTGGTGAAGTGTACATAAGTTGCATTTATTATGAAAATGTCCAAACACTTGTTATTATTTGAAATTGGCTGCACAGGTTTTCTCGAACTCAAACTGATAATATTTTTTTTATGTGAATTTAAATATTATTAATTTTTAAAATTTAATTATTTTTAATATTTAACTAATTAATATTGCATATGAATTGTAGATGAAAGTGAAGATGTTAAGACAACCTTGTCACAAGCGGATTCAAATGTGTTTGATGAAGATGATGTGTTGGATATCTCATAAGCATCATGAACATTCTTTTGAATAGTTTGTTTTAAGTTTTGACTTTTAGTGAATGAAATATAGTCTTGTCTTTTAATTTTTTTAGTATTTATTGTGATATATTGGAACAATATAAAAAGTTATTAAGTTTTGCGAATTTTTTCCATGAATGCAAGAAAAAAGTTCTGTGTAACTTAGTGGAGTATATATATGTTATAATCAAATATATGTGTATGGTGTAACTTAGTATATATTTCGATACCGTATGATATTTCGATATCATTTTTTTAATACCAAATATCATACCTAATACCAGTTTTTCTAAAACTTAAACCAGTTACCCTATTAAATACCAACTTTTTTACGATAATTCTGCATTTATCATGCACAGCCCTAAATTACCTATAAAAGGGAAGTTGGTGATAGTTTGATTCCCAAGTTCTTTTGCCAAAAATCCATAATGTTTTTTCCCATAGAAGCCATTGTAGGAGCAGTAACCCTAATTACATTTCTCTTATACTTCCTATGTACAAAAGAATCTCAAAAACATTCAAAGCCCTTACCAACGAAAATCCCCGGAGGATGGCCGGTAATCGGCCATCTTTTCCACTTCAATAACGACGGCGACGACCGTCCATTTGCTCGAAAACTCGGAGACTTAGCTGATAAATACGGCCCCGTTTTCACTTTTCGGCTAGGTCTTCCCCTTGTGCTAGTTGTAAGCAGTTACGAAGCTATAAAAGATTGCTTCTCTACAAATGACGCCATTTTCTCCAATCGTCCAGCTTTTCTTTACGGCGAATACCTTGGCTACAATAATACAATGCTTTTTCTAGCAAATTACGGACCTTACTGGCGAAAAAATCGTAAATTAGTCATTCAGGAAGTTCTCTCTGCTAGTCGTCTCGAAAAATTCAAACAAGTGAGATTCACCAGAATTCAAACGAGCATTAAGAATTTATACACTCGAATTAATGGAAATTCGAGTACGATAAATCTAAGTGATTGGTTAGAAGAATTGAATTTTGGTCTGATCGTGAAAATGATCGCTGGGAAAAATTATGAATCCGGTAAAGGAGATGAACAAGTGGAAAGATTTAAGAATGCGTTTAAGGATTTTATGGTTTTATCAATGGAATTTGTATTATGGGATGCATTTCCAATTCCATTATTTAAATGGGTGGATTTTCAAGGTCATATTAAGGCAATGAAAAGGACATTTAAGGATATAGATTCTGTTTTTCAGAACTGGTTAGAGGAACATATTAATAAAAGAGAAAAAATGGAGGTTGGTGCAGAAGGGAATGAACAAGATTTCATTGATGTGGTGCTTTCAAAATTGAGTAAAGAATATCTTGATGAAGGTTACTCTCGTGATACTGTCATTAAAGCGACAGTTTTTGTAAGTTCATCTGTCATTATTCATCTATTCAGTTTAATTTTTGGTTAATGGACAGGTTAATAATAATTTGAAGCAACG